GTCACCTGGCATGCAGTAGCATGGAGACGTGGCTGGTGGGAAAGAACAACATCTCTAAGCCATTGAGCAAGGGTCAAGACCTGGTTAGGAAAGCCAGCGCAAATAAGAACCACCTGTAGCAGTTTGCGAATCGTTCCTGGGGACATGGTGTTGGAGTTTGCAGCTCTCCTCCCGGTGCATGGGTACCATGAAGCAGGCAGGTTCCAACAAGGACTGAGTGAAGTCTTTTTCCCCTGCTTGTCCCTTTGTCTCTGCTGGGTCACGCTGCATGGGGGCTGTAGTACAGCTCACTGGCAGAGCTGCAAGACGGCAGGATGATGGGAGCCGAACTGACACAGTTTTGAAAATGACCTCATTGAGGTGAAAAGATCATTTTTCTCTCTTGACATTTTCAACTACTTAGTTGCTTAATTATCTGTTACCAGAATGTCTCCCTATAAGCACCAGCATTTTCACCCATTAGCAATTAGCGAGAACAGTTATTCTACTGAACTTTGTGCAGTTGAATAAATAGATTAATACCCATCCCTCTAAGTATGACTATATGGGGCAGACTACCAGCTGGAGTAAGCTGACTTAGCATTATACATATTAACATTTTACTTTTGTATTTAAAAAGCAATTTGAAAAGAATAAATATTTTTTCTTTATGAAGAATGACTTCATCTCCGCTTATTTGGGTATTCTAGCAACCATAAGCACTTTTGTCATGCAAATAATTTCAGTAGCAATCCAGTGAACAGATACATTTCTTCTTTGCCCATATTTTTGCTATTACTAGATGCATTTTTATGAACAGCAGCCAGTAGAAACTGCCTGAAATATGTCAGGCTAGAGTAACCCTTAAGGAAACCACCTTCACATTAACATGTGATCAAGTCTTCCACCTCCAAAGTATCATAACAATTTTAAGAGAACTTATAATGAAGTTACATCACAAGTAATAATTTCACTGGGCCATTAAAACTTGCCAGTGGAAGAGTCGTACCACAAATGTAATGCAGTAATTAAAGCCATTTTATCATCTGCAGATAAAATACCTGTCTCCAGAAGCTAGAGAGTCATGTCCTATCTTTTAGAGCCTTTGTGATACAGCAAATTTAATGTTTGCTAGTTAGCTATTCCTGTATAAAAATAAAGAACAGTGAAACACTAGGAAGAAGGGCTGAGATGCATTTTAAAAGAAAGGATAGATTCTTATAAAATGCCTGCAGAAAAAACAAATTAGAGAGGAATCCCCTTCTCTGAGTTTTCCCTTACAGTGTTGATGAGGCCTTTAGAATCATGTCTCCAAGAACTGATCTGAGCTCTTTTAAAACTGTTCCAACTTTGTGCAAACATGCATGGTTTCTCTCATTAACTCATGAGATTTCCTTTCTTAAGAACTGCTCCCTTGTTACAGGAACTTGCCTTTTTTTTCATTAAGAGAGAAAAGGAAGAGAGAAAGAGAGGAAGGGAGGGAGGGAGGAAAGATCCTCACGGCTGCACAGAGCCCAACGTGATTTTGATTAACGTTAGGAGTTAGGCAGGTCAGCTACATCCGCATGTATGTCTGTGATTACAAAGCAGGTCTCCTCTAGCATCACCCGCCAGCCCGTACAGAAAGGACAGAAAATTTGCACGCGCACGTGTGTGTGTGTGTGTGTGTGTGTGTGTGCGTGTGCGTGCGTGTGTGTGTGGTGTAGTTCAAGCAGAGAAATGTGAGATAACTTATCAGATATCTCACAGCTTGAGGCATGAGTTAACCTGAGACGCCTTTGCCGTTAGCTGACCCAGCTCATGTGGTCTGGGCATCTGAACCTGGCCTGCGCATGTCCGAAACCAGTCGCAGGTTTAATCCTTTTGCTGCCAGGCACCCTGGGGCACGCACAGCGGGTGCGCGACCACCGACCAGCACGGCACAGTGCAGCGCAGCACGGCACAGCGCGCACATTGTGGGCACACGCTGCATGAGCCCACGCGTGTGTGCGGGGCCACCCACCCAGTGTGGCCGGCCTCGTCACCACCCCCACACGGCCTTGCGGGG